TGTGCAGGAGGTTGCGGATGACCAGAGGCTTGTAAACGTTAAGCTCGAACTGGCCATTCATGCCACCAATAGTGGTCGCAACGTGATTGCCCATAACCTGGGCACAGACCATGGTCAAAGCCTCACATTGCGTGGGGTTAACCTTTCCAGGCATGATGCTGCTGCCAGGCTCGTTTTCGGGGAGGTTAAGCTCACCAAGGCCACAGCGAGGGCCACTGCCGAGGTATCGAATATCCTGAGCGATCTTGGTAAGAGAGGCAGCAAGGGTGTTAAGAGAGCCGTGGGCCTGGACAATAGCGTCATGGGCAGCCAGAGCCTCAAACTTGTTAGGGGCAGTCTTGAACTCAGTGCCAGTCATTTTGGTGACCTCCTCAGCAATAGCCTCAGCAAAACCCTCGAAAGTGTTGATGCCGGTGCCAACGGCGGTGCCGCCCTGGGCGAGCAGACGCAAGTCAGGGAGAGAGCTCTCTACACGCTTGATGCCAAAGTCGAGTTGAGCGACGTAACCAGAGAACTCTTGGGCTAGAGTCAAAGGTGTAGCGTCCTGGAGATGGGTACGTCCGATCTTGATAATCTTCTTGGCCTCAAACTCATCAACCTTCTTCTGCAGGGCAGCACGGAGGCTGTGGAGGGCAGGCAAGAGCTCGCCCTCAAGATCGAGGACAGCAGCAATGTGCATAACAGTAGGGAAGGTGTCGTTGGAAGAGGCACTACGGTTGACGTGGTCGTTGGGGTGGACGGGCTTCTTGCTACCCATAGTTCCGCCGAGGATCTCGATGGCTCGGTTGGAAATGACCTCGTTTGCGTTCATGTTGGACTGAGTGCCGGAGCCCGTCTGCCAAACGACAAGAGGGAAGTGGTCGATGAGTTTGCCATCAGCAACCTCCTTGGCGGCCTGCTGAATAGCAGCACCGATCTTGGGGTCTGCGAAAGTAATAATTAGCGTTTTGGTACTTAGAGTAGACAGTGTCCGTCTCCGTTGAGGTTAAACGGTTTGATGTACAAGCTCTACCCCGCCAAAGGGTATAAGTCATGCCCTCTAGGCGGAAGAGTGGAAAACAAGATATTACCACCAAACAGCTCTATATGAATTCAATTGCTACTCACCAAGGCCATATCGCATGTTGACAGTGGCGGCAGCACCCTTCAGGATACCAAATGCCTTGACAATGGGTGGAGGCATGCGATCCTGGGGCTGGTTGATGCGAAAGTTCTCGAGAGATCGTTCGGTCTGGGCTCCCCAGTATCGGTCGGCGGGGACCTGGATCTCGCCAAAGGCATCGCTCTCTGTTCGTGTCTGAGACATTCTGACTGAAGTGCTGTGAATAGCTCTGGAGAGTTGAAGACCAGCAACCCGAGTCTTGTTCTGAAGTCGCAGTTGCGGGGCAAGCGAGCATGTGGACGCAGCTGCTTGGGAGACCCGAGGCAGAGCTGACTTCATAAGGCCCGAGGCGGCAGCGCGTCCCGTGACGGTTCGAAGCATGATGGGCAGATGGCTGGCTGGCGAAACGCTATTCCGAAAGTTGGGGCAGGCCAATTGAATCGACTTGGCTCGACTGAAGGTGGTCGCAGGAGGATTCTTCGGGGGGCAGGGGCCGGAGATGTTGCACAATTGCAAAAGGGGTTTTCAACAATCGGAGAGAAGGCCAGCTACTTGTCTCGTCGCTCTCGGTTACTGATTTTAACGGCTCAACCAACTTTAGACTCCGGAAGCACTGGTCAAACGGAAAAAAGGTCGAAATACTGGCCGGTTATTTGTCGGAGATCCTTCACCGGTCAACGATATCGGCCTCGCTCCGGTCTATCCCGAGCAGTTCCTGGTTTCGATATGTTGATCTTATTGGATGGCGGTGTCTAAGTCTGGAGTTTAATTCAATTCTAGGGTAATTAAATATTAAACTTGGTATTATATCCTATATATATACCCTCCTTTTTCTTTAGCTTTACTTTGCTATATATTACTGGCCCGTTCAATAATCAATTAATCAACTAATTCATAATTATGGCTTCCTTTCTAGCAGAATCATCGTTCTCAAAATCCAGGAGCATCTAGACATGCTTAGTGAGCTTATTGACATCAATAGCATTGCCGGTGGGAGGTTCATGAACCCTGATTAGGATGTATTCCACTACGAAAAGGTCAAGAGTAAAGGGCTTACATGTCGCAACCCCCTCCACCGATATTGCAAGAGAGACATCGCAAGCTCGAAGAAGCGCCATATGCGCAGTTAACCGGGCGCAATTCTAGAGGCTTCTGGGCGGCAGGCTTTTCCATGTCATGCGTAAGCTTGTTTAAGGCGGTCCTAAAGTATTTAAGACACCAGCGATCTCCAGCGGAAATTGCAGCTGTTCTCTGGTGGCATTAGGTAATGGCATTTTCTCGCGATTCTGGCGCAGTTGCTCAGACTGGGATGACATTCTGGGCGATGTAGTGTAGGAATATGTAAGAGAGGAATAAGAGAGGAATGGTGATGAAGAGCTGATGAAGCTAAGTAGATACCCTGGAAGATACTGAGTATCAAGAGTTAGATCTGGGAGAGAGAAGTGTAAGAATAGTGGTCAGCATAGAAATCACGAGATGATCAGGCGTTGCTTGAAAAAGCAGTATGTTAATGGAGATGTTCTGATTTATATGGGCAATCGTGAGCTATTCACTGAAATATCACAAAGGACTACAATAACAATTCATTGCTAGTCCTCAAGAACAACAATAGTTGGACGTTTGAAATGCAGAATTGAAACATAAGAGTGGTATTTCGTCATAAGGATATCTATGTTTTTTACAGAAAGTTGATTCCCACACCGACCTGCAGCCCCTTCGTTGAAGCCTCTCCTTTCCTCAGAGCCAAAGGCAGACTGAAGTTGAGCTCGAAGCGGGCAACAGGATGAGCATACACAAGACCAACACCAGCCGCAACACTGGGAACACCGTTGAAGAGCTCACCAACTGCGTTCACCATGCCATTTCGGACAGCTGTTCCGGACAGCTCCTGCGTGGAACCACTGCTGGAGGACTTCTTGCTGTCCTTGAGAGCAACAAGACGCCCGCCATTTGCAAAGAGCTGGAATCGTAGACCGGAATCGGGTCCCTTGTAAGGAACTGGAAGAAGCATGTTGACACTACCAGCAGCAAAGACATCGCCCCCGACAGAATCAGAACCATCATGTGGACCAAGACCTCCGAGCTTGAAACCTCGAACATCTGTTGGTCCTCCGAGTTGGAAGCGATCGTTGATTCGAGTAGGTCGAAGTTTTCCAGCAAACTCATAACCAAGAGGCAACGGACAAAGCAAACCAAGTCTCAATCCACCACCAATGGAGATTCCTGTTCGCTCACGAATGCCTGGCAAAGGAATTGGGATCGCACCGCCGACTTCGACCTCGCCCTTGGAAAAGGCAACATCACCAGCAAGAGGGCCAAGACCAGCTACTTCAAGTCCAGATCGGAGCATGTATCCGCTCTGAGGAAGCTGGGGGTTATCACGCCTTTCCCTGTAGAATGTGTGTTTGACAGAGCTCTTGATAGAGTCACCAGCATCTGCACGGACTGTTGGACTGGCGTTTTCGGCCAAACCAGTAATCTGCCTCCAGATGCCTGAATACTCAACGGACTGTGTGTCGCGTTGTTGATTGAGCCACGAAAATCGCAGTGTACCGCCTTTGAGCACCTCCTCATGAGAAGCCCATGGTTTTTCGGCGGCTGAGGCCACACCCTCAAGCGATAACCTCATGTCGGGGTTACTCTTGACGGGTGCAGTAAGGGTGGCGCTATAAGCTGAGCGTGTACGTGTGCCAGCCTTTGCATTAAGCGTCAACATCTCAGCACCACCAAACATGTTTCGCCATAATAGCGAACCATAAGCAGAACCCTCTCCATTGCCGACATCAGTACCAGTTTGGAGCTTGAAACGAGACAGTTCCTTAACTCGGATATCGACGTTCACATCGGTGGGGGAGGTAGAGGGATCGGTCTGTTGGGCAGAGGTCAGGTAGACTTCGGGTTGAGGTTGGAATAATTCTATAGATCAGTTAATTTGGTGTTGCGGTGAGAGCTACTGGAAATCATACGTAGTCCATCGAGCTTGTTGCTTGCGATACGAAGACTGTTGATGACATCGCCAACAGTCGAGCTTGCGTTCGAGGCATCGGCAATGAGGGGTTGGAAAATGGGATCGAGGAAGTTTGTTCGTGTGTTGACCGCACCGTGGATTCGAAGCTCGTTGATCGTCATGGGCGCCAGTTGCTGGTCACCAATCTGCGCAACATTAGCTTATGATCTGAAGCTAGGATCGGTAAGGGAACATACCACCTGAGCCAGACGCCGTTGCTTGGCTTCATCTTGTTCTTTTTGGAATTCGGGCTTCGATTCTGCTTCATGCAACAGAGAACCGGTGTCGGAATGAAGCTTGTTAAAGGGGTCCATGGACTGATTCATGTTAGATGATGGGTCCTTATGTCTCAATGGTGGGATGGAATTACCGGACCCCCGGTTGACCCAGGAATTGCAGCCATTTTTGGTAGCTCAAGAGCCGAGTTTTTGCTTGCAATAGCCTCACGATGTCGATTTAAAGAGTATCGGACCACCAACTGGACCCTGACAGCCCAGCTTCCAATTAATCACCGGTACGTACTTCCCGAGCTCCCGCAGGTGGACCCGAGACCTGTGGCTCAAAGTAGTGGCGCTCCAACTTCGTCATAGGTTGGATGCATGTGATACACAGCCACAAACTATCCGGACCTAGCGGGACCACTGTGCCTGGCAAAGGGTGCCTCCTCCTGCGTTCCTCTCCATTCATCTCAACTTATACACTCTTCATTTGCGCCCAAGCATAAGATATCGCTGCTTTTGAGTTTTTAGAGATACCTTTCTCTTTCACTTCACCCGAGTTTCGTAAATACTCGTTACTTTCCTTTAATTCGTTAATTACTTCGGCCTCGACTCTACTCACGCGACCCGCAATCTGTCCCGTTCGTCAACTTCTAATCCAACGTCAGTCAGCATGGCTAGCAAAGGTGCCACCAAGCGTGTATGCACTTCTACTCCCACCACTTGAATGTGCAATACTAATTATTGGACAGTTGACACGCGAATACAAAACTATCTCAGAGAACCCTCCTCCTTACATTGTCGCTCATCCATCCGAGTCTAACATTCTGGAGTACGTTACGTCACGCCCAACAATTGGTCGCGAGTTGACTTTGCTAACACAACTTAGATGGCACTACATCATTACCGGACCTGAGGACACACCTTACCATGGCGGCCAGTATTGGGGAACTCTCATGTTCCCCCCAAACTATCCTTTTGCTCCTCCCGCCATTCGCATGCACACCCCGTCCGGCCGATTCCAGCCCTCGTCGCGACTATGTCTGTCTATCTCCGATTTCCACCCGAAGTCATTCAATCCCGCATGGGAAGTCTCAACTATCCTAATCGGCCTTCTATCATTCATGACAAGTGAAGAGATGACGACTGGCTCCGTTTCCAGCACCGCCGCGGAACGACGCTCCCTCGCCGCTCGATCACGCTGGTGGAACTCGACTGGTAATGGCACACATAGCAAGACGGGTCCTGTCCAGAGGGGCAACATCAAGGCTGGTGATGGCGGCGCCAAGTTTCGAACAGAGTGGCCAGAGGTGGATGCAGAGAATTGGGAGTGGATGACCAAGAACAAGGTTGACCCTGTCAGTGGCACACGATTAGACGCTGATAACAGCGGATCCTGTCGACCTCAGCTTGGTATTTCAGGGACTAGCGGTCATCAAACACAAGCAGTTGTTGATGTGGTCAACCAACAAAGAGATGCCAGCACAGGATGGATCTATCGCAACAAACTTCTTGTCGCTGGTGCGGCTTTCTTCCTCTACGTCCTTGTCGCCAGACTGGTTAGCGGAGAGGAGTGATCAGGGAGAGTTGTATTCGGGAAGCGCTTCATGTTCTTCTAATTCTAGTTTTTGTTTTATTACGGGCGGACTGGCGGGCGCAATAGGTTAACAAGCCAGACACCAGGACTCGCGTCCTGATCTGGCGTTTCAGGGCATTTAATGAGCGTTTACTTGATGGGGTTCAGTTTGATTGTCGTCAGCTCATTTGCCTGCAGAGGTTGTGATTTATCGGGTAGAGACTCAAATACATCAAACAGGTAGATCAACATGCAACAATGCTCCTTTTGTATCAAGTGCGTCCCCGTCCGCGAGAATCAGTTGAGGCGGCACGTAAAGCCAAACGGGAACAAGCAGGCAGCCGTGATTTTGATAGGCAACTGGCATAAGCTTCCGTAGACAAACAAGAAGCCCGGCCTATTGTAACCCTCAAACAAGGCTCCATGCAATCAGAGTGCAATGTCGGAAGCCGGCTGATGACTGTTCGCCGTAGAAGCTCAACCTCTATTTGTTGGATACTATCCGGCGGACGGGAGTATTGTTGGCTGCGCTAGCCCACTCCAGGCCCCTGAAGTTTAGCGCAAGTCTTAACGCGGGCACCTACGGCACGGCGGGGAGGTCTGAGGTCTGGTCTAGTCTGGTCTACCTACAAGAAAAATTGTGACGAAAGCCCCAATTTTTGTTAACTTGCGACTCGTCTCCATCGCTTGGAAGCCGTTGGAAGCACCTCCTCGACATCATCATCATCCGGGTTTCCAGGTTGGTGAAATTCTCACAGCATAATTCTCCCTATTCATCTCCTCCTACAGAACCCTATCTCCTCTGAACCCCGTGCTTTGCTGCCTTTCATTCTTTAATTCACCCTCCTAACGGTACACACCCGTCATCGAAACCCGCTCCTACTTGAGCTCTTCCTCTCCGCACAAACAGCTGCACCTGGACCCTCATCTCTAGTGCATCGCCAGTTCGCCTCCGATCCACGGCCAACTACCTTACCCTTCAGCCCAGAATCGACAAAAGGGCACTTCAGTCATAACGAAGACGACTGCTCTCCATGCCTCTTCCTCTAGATCCGTAGAGCCCCCCTCCCTCCGAATCCTCTGTTGAGGCCTGGCGCTGGCTAGCTGATCGCCCGCCGATACCTTCCCCGCCGAACCGTCAACGATCTCGTCCATGAAATGGCGCCCCAAAACGGCAACATGAAGACTCGCCGAAATGGCGGGAGCAAGCTCTCTCAGTCCTCCAAGCCTGTCATGCCTGCTATCCCACTGCCTTATGTGAAGCGTCAGGCCGCTTCTGCTGCTGCTCGTGCCAATGCTGTCCATGTTTCTTCGACTGTTGCCTCCACCACGATCCAGGAACCGGATGTGCGCTCCCCCATTGAGGTGAAGCATGTAAATGGTAACGTCCCTGCTGAGGCTAAGAAGCATGATCCTGCGGCTACGGCTCCAAGCACAATTGCTAGTGGAACTTCGACCTCGACCTCCAAAGCCGAGGAGGTGGCCGAAACAAAGGTAGACGCTCACAAAGAAACAAAGAACGGCGCTTCTGATGAAACCAACACCCAGGCTTCCTCTTGTAAGTACTTCAGACGTGCCTATTGTCAAGATGCACTCCAAGACCCTTCACTTACACATGATTCTTTCATTGCAGCCGCATCTGGTTCTGAAAATCCTACCACCATCAACGAAAGCGACAACATCCACAAAAACCCTGTAGTCTCAGGCCATTCTGACCAGCCCACTCCCAAGAACCAGGTCGATGTTGAAGCTCGATCAGTCGACAAGGTTTCAGTCGGAGTGAACGAGAAGCCCAATGGTGTTTCAAGCAAGGCCGACATCAAAACTCTGTCCGGTAGGCAGCCAAACTTTTTTCAGGCCATTATAAATACTCACAAGTCCAAATTTTTAGACAACCATCCACCTTCGAAGCCCAACAAAGGCCGACCTCCTTCTGCTGTCCCACCGAGCCGATACCAGATGCCCCCTTCCTTTCAGCCTGCTGCTCGACCTATGGGACCAAACATGAACGGCGATATGCGTGGCCATCGCGCTCCTCTGGTTAACGGCCCGCCTATGCACCAGCCTCATCACAGCAACGGTAGCATCCATTTTGGCGCTTTCCACGGTTCGACGAGCTCCTCTCCTGCTCCTCCATCCGGTGGTATTGCCCCTCCTCCCGGTATGACAGGTCCTGATGGCCGACCCTACATGACCCCCGGTGCCAACGGCTTCCCCCCTATGATGCCGTATGGCGCAGAACAGGTTCCGGTCACTACTTTCGATAACTACGGAAGACCTACTATGGCTTATGGACCGATAGACTCTTTCCCTCCCATCCTTAACAATTTTGGTCCCCCAACCCCACACAGCTATCATGATTCACAGGCATCAGGTCCTCCCGATGATGGTAGTGTCTACAACCAGTTTTCTGCAGCTCCAGCGCGAAATGGTGTACCTGCTCCAGAGGAAACTCAGTCTCCCAACCAGGCAGGTAGAATGTTTGGTGGTCCCGAGTATCCGCGAATGATGCCGAATGCCGGACCTCCCCCGCACATGATGTCTTCAATGGAGGGTGCTGAAGGTCTGATTGGTCATCTGGTGCAGCAGTTCTCATCTCTTGAATTTGCTGATTGCGTTTTGGAGCTTCGATATGCGGATGAAAAAGTTCCTCCAGTTCGCATTCCAGGCCACCGAGTGATCCTTTCTCGCAGTAACGAGCTCGCAAACGCTATCGCTAAACAGCCACGACCTGACCCCAATGTTCCATCTCTTCCCACCATCCTTCTCGAGACCAAGAGCAAGTGGATTCGCTCTGATCCGTTCTATATGGCCATTCACTGTCTTTACGGAATGCCACTCTTGGACCCTGCTGCTGGGGGCATGAAGCAGGCTGCAGCTGATTACAACCAGTTGATTGAGCGCTTCGAATTTGCTCTTTCGTATGCTGCAGCCGGTCATCTCCTCCGTTGGGATTCGCTCATGCGGCGCGGTTGCGAGGTTGCTGTACAACTTCTGAACTGGCAGACAGTTGAGAAGGCTTTGGAGTTTGCCCTGGAGGATCACCGAGACGAGGGGTCTTATGATGTGTTCAAGTACGGCGATGGATCTCGGGTTATTCTCAACGAGATCGTCTCTTTCATCGCAAGAAACACCAACCCTACTTTCAAGATTGACACTTCAGTGACCGACACGTCGAGCTATGCTCGTCTTCCACAAACTGCTCTGACAAGCAATGCCAGTACCCGCAAGCTCTCACCCCCACCCATTGCCCGGGGTACATCCGTGCATCTTGGCAAGGGCAAGGGACGTCTCTCTCAGCAGATTTCTGGGATCCAGTTTGGCGACCTTTCTTTGACCGACGGCAAGGTCTCGCCAGCTTCGGATGCTTCAGGCGGTTCACAGCAACGAACTCCTCTCAATGCAGTGCTTTCTCGAATTCTCCTTAATCTTCCATTCGAAACTCTCAAAGCACTGCTCGAGGCTGCGACTAACAAGGCCAACGGGTGGCTAAATGCAGAGGCAATCTACCGCGTGGTCAAAGACACAGTAGCTGAGAGAGAGCGACGCCGGCTTCAGATCGTTGAACTGGTCAAGACCCAGCAGGTCACAGCCTGGGCCGTCATCGCCCAACAGCTTTCCAGTCCTGAACCGAGATACGTCGGTCTCTGGAGTGCGCTGGGCTGGCGCGAGGAGATTCTACCTATTGGACCTTCCGAGAGCCCGACCCTTGGTCGCACTTGGGTTCCCTTCGTGGGCCCTCAAGCAAGCACTCAAGCAGCTTACCCCTAAGCAACTTGGTTCACGCTACTGATTTTTCAATTTCATGAATGATATTGGGGGTTGTGTTGATGCTGGATAATCGGGAGGGCGGCTTGCAGAAACATGGCAAACGAAGCCGAGGCTGGTTTCTCAGTCTCTCGACAAAAGCCAGTACTTTTGATTTCGGGATGAAAAGGTGGCGTCTGTGATCCTGCTTACTAGGGAGAGGATATGATGCTCTTTGGAGAGTTTTGGTTGATGAATGGCGTTGGGGGGCATGTCAACATTGGTTGCTTTAAAGCGAGGAATGTTTTTAACGAAGGGAAACTTTGGTGGGAGGCACGGGAAGGAAAAAGAAAACAAAAAGTATTTAATGATTCCATATTGCTAGGACTGGTGGTTCAATCTCACTTGTCCTGAGTCTGGCTGGCATCACAATGGCCTGGAACTGGACTAGACTGGACTAGACTGGACTTGACTGGGCTGGACTGATATGAAGGGGTTATGATGAATGATAGTTAGTGACTTTGGAAGTTAAAAAGGACGGTAGTTTCGGCATCAACTGGAGTATGCGTCGTTATGTCTCTCATTTGGGAGACAACATTAGGTAGCCTCTTTATGACTGGTTTGATACCCCAGACTGACTTATGCGTTCCCCGTGAAGTGCCTTATGACGGTATGACTTTTTTTCATGCGCATAGTGGGCGTGCTATCGGGAGTCCAGCCTTTTTGGGTAGTTCAGAATGTTGAACGTGCTGTTGGATTTCATGTGATGGTGATGTCCGGCTGGAGAAGGGCAACTTAGCTACCGAGGGCGGGGAACCCCTGTAGAGGGACCCCATAAGCAACAACATCGCGTGTCTCTATTCGCTAATTGAGCATTGCTTTAATTAACTGGGATAGCCTTAGCAGGGTCTCGATATTAAAAGATAGTGGGCAAGGTCAGCTTAGACCAAGAGCCGAGGTCGAATTCTCCACTTTACGTCGTCTTGCTCATTTCCAAGTTCTTGTGATTTCATCCCTTCCGTGCCTCCCACCATTCGTCGTCACTTTCACTTCACTTCATCAACAAACAAAAGACTTGATGTGAGAGCTTCGATCTGGACCCCTCAGCACTGACGCTGTGTAACCAAGTCCAGGTCATTTTCGATTCAGATAAATTGGTTTCTTCATTTACTTGATGCCTCTCTTCGGAGATACTGCTCGAATGCGCCGCTGGAGCTCAGCTCGTGGAACCGCAGACACGCCATAAATTAACAA